GCCAACTCATGCTTCTGAGGGCGGCGCAACGAGAATACACACGCTCCGGGTTTAGGGTTTAGGGTTTAGGGTTTAGGGTTTTAGGGTTTAGGGTTTAGGGTTTTAGGGTTTAGGGTTTAGGGTTTAGTCTTTAGGGTTTAGGGTTTAGGGTTTTAGGGTTTAGGGTTTAGTCTTTAGGGTTTAGGGTTTAGGGTTTACTACTGAGGACGGCACAAAGCCACAACCAAGAAGCCTCAGGACCCTTCTGGGGCGGGAACCAAACTCCAAGGCGGTGCACCAGTACAAGACTCCCTGAAAGAGAGGCAATCCTTACAAGGCTCCACATTATGCTACGAACTTAAGGGTTTAGGAGTTTAGGAGCCCTAAACCCTAAACCCTAAACCCTAAACCCTAAACCCTAAACCCTAAACCCTAAACCCTAAACCCTAACTTAGAGAACTGCTCATCTGGAAACCGGAAGACTTCAACCAGCCTCAGCAACTCCAGCACTGAGCCACAGTGCAAAATCAGAACTCGACATCGGCCCCAGCCGAACCTTTAGCTTTAGCGCTTCTGGGGGTTTTAGAGTTTAGGGTTTCGGGTTTAGGGTTTAGGGTTTAACCCTAAACCCTAAACCCTAAACCCTAAACCCTAAACCCTAAACCCTAAACCCTGTTTAACCGCGAGACGGCGGGGCGTGGGGGGTGGAGGAGGGGCGAGCCTGTTGAGTTCACTTCGCCCGCAAGGCCGAAAAGCATGGCGATGCCTGCCTGCGCTGTGGTTTGAGGTTTAGGGTTTAGGGTTTAGGGTTTAGGGTTTAGGGTTTAAGGTTAAGGGTGCTCATCTGCATGCAGTATATAACCCTGTACGCAAAAAAGGGTCTGGGGCCTACAGGGTCCTTCAGGGTAAGAGGTTTGGGGTTTAGGGTTTAGGGTTTAGGGTTTAGGGTTTAGGGTTTAGGGTTTATAGGTTTAGGGTGTCGGGATTGCCCCCCCCCGCGCCAAACCCATGAAACGCTTCTTTTTGTGTTGGAGCCCTCGTTCGAAAACAACATAGTTAGGCCTCATCACCCCGAAGACTACATAGGGTTTAGGGTTTAGGGGTTTAGGGGTTTAGGGGTTTAGGGGTTTAGGGGTTTAGGGGTTTAGGGGTTTGGGGGTTTAGGGGTTTAGGGGTTTAGGGGTTTAGGGGTTTAGGGGTTTAGGGGTTTAGGGGTTTAGGGGTTTAGGGGTTTACGGTGTAAGGGCTTGAAAACCAGATTGACATGTGCCCCACGACACTGAAATTATAGAGGGCTTTGGGGAAATTGGGGAAATGGAAAGGTAGAGGTCATAGACTCATCGAGATTCCCACTGTTCGGGTTCATGCCTAGGTATACCTTTCAACCAGGGCTCTAAACCCTAAACCCTAAACCCTAAACCCTAAACCCTAAACCCTAAACCCTCTGCAATTCCAGCAAGGAGGGTACAGTACAATCCACGCTGCCCCAAAGCCGCGCGCCAACAAATCCACAAAAGTCCTGAAGACCTGAGGATGCTAGGAAGGAAGGATCTAACGGACCTTAGGGTTTAGGGTTTAGGGTTTAGGGTTTAGGGTTTAGGTTTTAGGGTTTAGGGTTTCGGGTTTCGGGTTTGGGGTTCAGAGTTTAGGGTTTGGGCCGCAAAACCTTATTAAGCCCCCAGGACCCTAAAGGCCCTAAGCACCCTGAACATTCGGCCCCAAAAGCCTGAACGCCCTGAAGCCCTTCGTCCTAAACCCTGAAAATTCTAGAACAAATCCCAAGGCCCAGCCTGTCACCCTCAGTCCTAAACCCCAGCAACAATCTTCAGATTCATGTTCGAAACCCTAATCCCTAAGCCCACAACCCGAAACCTTCACAACCCCAAACCCTCAACCTTAAGCCCTTCGAGGCATCACCCAGCCTTATTGCAGGCTCGCGAGGTGGCTTTGCAGGCCAGCTGCAAGGCCATGAGCAAGATGGCGAGCTCCTGGAGGGGTTTAGGGTTTAGGGTTTAGGGTTTAGGGTTTAGGGTTTAGGGTTTAGGGTTTAGGGTTTAGGGTTTAGGTTTTTTTTTTTTTTTTTTTGGGGGGGGGCGGGGGAGGAAGGGGGCCAGGTTTTTGCCTGCTTCGGGTTCGGGGATTGGGGGGTTTAGGGAGTCTGAAACCCCAAACCCTAAGCCCTAAGCCCTAAGCCCAGACCCTAAACGACTTGCCGGCCACCTCGACGATTTGAGGGAACCAGCTCAGAGTCTGGGTTTAGGGGTGTCCTTGTCGCCGGTCTTGCCCATGATGTACCTCGGCTGAGATCCGGTCTTATTCAAGGATGGCCCTTAAAACCCTCTGAAACATATTCCTAGACATGATCCTCTTGAGACAAGGGGAATTTGCAATATCCCAAGGGCCTAGCTAGTTTTAGCTCAGTTAGTTGGCTCTGCAGCAAAGGGCTAGCCTTTGGGTTTTCAGCAAGCCTGCATTGATCTCAACACAAAAAAGTTGCTAATGTGTGTAGCATGCAGTGCATCGTCAATTTACGCAGTCATAAGGGGATGGTCGCTCAATCCAGAGGGCTGGATCATATTCAAAAGCTTAATCTAGCTACTTACAGCTTGAACACAGGAGGACTGTCCTTTTGAACAAAGGGCTTAAGAAACAAATCCGTATTCGATGCTCTCACGGCGCAAGATGGAGCTCTGAGGTGCCATTGCTAGGGTTTAGGGTTTAGGGTTTAGGGTTTAGGGTTTAGGGTTTAGGGTTTAGGGTTTAGGGTTTAGGGTTTAGGGTAATTGCTGCCATGCCGGGAATATACCATCAAGGGAGTCATACTTGGGATGTACCCCTCAGAGGTTTCCTGAATGTACTCCCAATGTGGCCCTGAGATTCCCTTTATAGGATTTTGAAAAAGGGTCCAACAGGCAGAATCTCATGAAGCAAAACTCAGAACTGTCTTACTAAGGTGCAAAATGCCTTTGGCGAAATCATTTGCCGACCCTAAACCCTAAACCCGAAACCCTAAACAATGTATAGCTTGCTAGCAACTGAAGAGTTACCAGGTTTTGTATGGCATCCCACTATCCAAGCTTAGCCGACCAGGCCTCGTCAGCGTGGGGAACTGGCTGACACTGACGCTGTCGGACGCCGAAGTGATGGGGGCATCCGCCCTCGCACGCAACTACCCGGGGGGTTCCGGTTCTAATAAAAAACCCTAAACCCTAAACCCTAAACCTGAAACCCTAAACCCTAAACCCTAAACCCTATAAACCCTAAACCCTAAACCCTAAATCGAATTCCCAACTCGTTAACCCCCATCCCTCGGCCCCAAACATTTCAGTCTAAGCAACCACATAGTGAACATGAGGAGCATTCTGCACTCCAATCCTTGTATATAGTTCAAATGACCAGCACTTGATGATACAAAGGAGGCCCTGAAACCGAAGGATGGAGGACGGATGTAGTTTAGGGTTTAGGGTTTAGGGTCTAGGGTTTAGGGTTTAGGGTTTAGGGGTCTAGTGGCCAGGGATCTCCCACACTGGGTGTAGAGGTTTCAGGGAATCAGACTTCCGGTCTAGGGTTGTAGGGCTTATGTTTGGCCTTGACCGGCAATTCGCAAGGCCCCTTTACATCACTCTGCAACGGGTAATACCCCACCCTCCCAGAATCGGCACTATCTAAGTGCGTGTTGCCAGAAATGTCCTCCAACATGACGACTTGACTTAGTGTCTGTGCGAGGGGTACCCCAGATTCGGGAAGGGGTCTGGGGTTTGGGGTTTGGGGTTTGGGGTTTGGGGTTTAGGGTTTAGGGTTTAGGGTTTAGGGTTTAGGGTTTAGGGTCTAGGGGTCAGATTTTAGGGGGGCCGGGGAGGCCGCCCCGGAAAGGTGCAAGAGCGAAGGCTTCCAGGCTTTTGTCAGCAGGGTCCCATGAAAAAGGCACAACACAAAATACAAAAAAACACACACACACACACACACACACACACACACACCCACCCACACACACACACACACACACACACACCCACCCACCCACCCACCCACCCACCCACCCACGCACGCACGCACGCACGCACGCACGCACGCACTACAAAAACAGTTTTTGGGTTAGAGGCCTGGCTGATCCGGAAAAACCCCCAGGTCCTTGGGGACGCTGCGAGAGGGGCCAGGAACCCCCTGCTCGGGGCTCTTGGGGGACCACTCTGAGGGCTCAAAAACCCCCAAAACCAAAACGTTTCATTAAGGTTTAAATATTCATAAGAGGGTTTTAAAAAACCCTTTTTTTTTACCCTCTTTTCTTTTAAAACCCGTTTCGCCCCTCGCTTTCGTAGTCAAAGTTCAGATCCCTATCGTAAAGAAAATCTTAGTCTCCCAAGACGCTTTTCCCAATCCTTCTCGAAGCATGCGCTGCTATTCTCGCTCTCGACACTCGAACCGCTCTCGGCGCTCATGGACCATCTGAAACAAATTGAGCGCCAACGACGGTTCAAGTGCTCATTCAAAGGCAGTCTAGCAGACCTGGCGCAACAAGCAACCCTAAACCCCAAACCCTACACCCTAAACCCTAAGCCCCAGCGATGCCTGGGAATGATAGCAGGGTCCGCATAGCCCGCCATGCCTCCGAACCTTGCGAAGCTTCTGCACGGGTCTCTGTAGGGCCTCGAAGGTTTAGGGTTTGGGGTTGACCAAAAAACTCCTCATGTAGTACCTTTTCTATGCCCAAGAGTAGCCTAGGAATAAAAAGGGTGTCCTTGTGGGTTCAAAAGGGGGCTATAAGAGAACCGAAACCCCAACAACAAGGGAATAAGGGCCTACTCTGGGTCCTAGGTAGTATACCATAAACAGGGTCTACGCTGGAGCCTTCAGGTAGGGTTTAGGGTTTCACCCAAGTATCCGAACGCTGGAACAACACATATCCTAAATCTTTTCTTTACGCACCTTAAAAACTGCGAACCCTAAACTTGTTTCAATGAAGCACAAAAATCTGGAACAACCCGGAACAAAGAACATTTTGATAAACCGCAAAAGCCCTAAAGCTTCATAAAAGATTTTGGCCCCAACCCCTAACCCCAACTCATAAACCCTGTTGAAAAAAAACCACACACACACACACAGAGAGGGCCGAGGGTCCTTGGGGTGTAGCTGGTCCGTCAAAGGGTGAAAAAAAAGGATCCTGCCTTGTGGTTTCTTTAGGATAGAGGTAATTAGGGTCCCTGTTGCCGTGTATCCTGTTTTGGGGGTGGACTACAGAGATTACAAGGCTTATGGGAGTTGTACGGTTTAGGTTTTACGAACGAAGAAAGGACCATGGAGAACTCAGTTTCCTGTGTATCAGAGGCGCTGCGGGATAATGACCCTAAAACCCGAGACCCTCTGGACCCTAAACTCCAAGCACTTCTCAGTTTTTAACTGTCGGGCAGCTAACCCAAAAAGACCTGTAACAATAACGCTAAAACCTCGACCCGAAACCCCACAAAACCTTAAACCCTCTAACCCTGAACTCTTAACCGTATACACACCCTATACAGCCTACAACCTGGACGACACCCTAAATCCCAAACCCTTACACCCCTAAACCCCTAAACCTCTAAACCCCTAAACCCCGTAAACCCCTAAGCCACTAAACCCCTCAAACCCCTAAACCCCTCAAACCCCTCAAACCCCTAACGCCCCTAAACCCCTAAAACCCCTAAAACCCCTAAAACCCCTAAAACCCCCAAACCCCTAAACCCCTAAACCCCTAAACCCCTAAACCCCTAAACCCTAAACCCCTAAACCCCTAAACCCCCTCAAACCTCTAAACCCCTCAAACCCTAAACCCCCTAAACCCTCACCCCCTCAAACCTCTAAACCCCCTCAAACCCCTAAACCCCTAAACCCCTAAACCTCTAAAACCCCTAAACCCCTCAAACCCCTAAACCCCTAAACCCCCTCAAACCCCTCAACCCCTAAACCCCCTCAAACCTCTAAACCCCTAAACCCCTAAACCTCTAAAACCCCTCAAACCCCTAATCCCCTAAACCCACTAAACCCCCTCTAAACCCCTCAAACCCCCTCAAACCCCTAAACCCGAAATTTGGGGGGCCGGGTGGCAGCTCAACTCTCTGGTTTCCGTGGGGGCGCAGCTTCCGGAGTTGGGCCAAAGGCTGCAGAGGAGGAGCGTAGGCGCCCAGAGGTTTGTGGAGGACTTTTCGAGGTTTTAGGGATGGCTTTTGGAACCCTAAACCCTAAACCCTAAACCCTAAACCCTAAACCCTAAACCAGGAACATTACGCCTAAACTTGACAGCAGCAAATCCTCAACCCTGGGATGCTTCCCCTGGTGCTAACAGGGTTTAGGGTTTAGGGTTTAGGGTTTGGGGTTTAGGGTTTAGGGTTTAGGGTTCAGGGTTGAGGGTTTAGGGTTCAGGGTCAGTCCTTCATAGGGAGTATAACAAGGGGTACTATGATCCCGAGTCAGGACTGTTAGTATAAGGGGGTTGTAGCCCCAGACCCTAAGCTCTAATCTCTGAGTCGGGAAACCCTCCGACCCCCCTGTCAAACGGAAAGCGCATGACGAACAAGAGCAACCAAACCCCGCTTTAGGGTTGAGGGTTTGAGTGCCACTTGATATTTGTGCTTATCCGGTGCAAACTTTGCTCACAAGCCTAGACACCAAAGCCAGGATGTTGGACAGTGCCTGAACCCTAAACAGTAAGCCCCATATAGCCCTAAGGTTCCAAGGACTCTTGCTTCCAGTACTTTTGTGGCCCAAAGGCCTCATCATAGGAGGTTTCTGATCTATTTTGAGCCTATAAGCGTAAGGACTCTTCGCAGGGTCCCCTGCCCGGCGAAAAGGCGCAGAAGGAGCAGCTGAGAAGGCGGGTGAGTATGACCTGTCGCAGGGTTTCAGGGGCAAGGTTACGGATTGAAGGTTGGGGGTTCAAGGGTTTAGGGTGTAAGGGTTGAGGGTGGCTTTGGGGGGGTTCAGGGGTTTAGGGTTTAAGGAACGAGGGTTATAATTAGGGTGTCTGTTCGGGGTTCAGAGGTTTAGGGCTTAAGGATTGAGGGTTGTAGGGTGGCTTGTGGGGTTTAGGGTTGAGGGCGGAGTTGACGGCGTAGATCCTGTGGGCAGGATGTACTTGGTCTGGGCGCGTTGGGGGTGTAACCCTAAACCCTAAACCCTAAACCCTAAACCCTAGACCCTAAACCCTAAACCCTCGGCCCAAGAAGAGCTGTAGTCTAAGCAGAGGGATGGGGGCACGGAGGCCCAAGACTCTGCTGCATCACAAGGCGAAAAAAAAGCCCCGAAGCCGACTTTCTTAGTGTTTAGGGTTTGGGGGTTGGGGTTTGGGGTTTAGGGTTTTCGGGTTCGAACAGCCCATTAACCCTATGCACGCTGAATGCCCCTTTAAACGCGCCATAGTAGCTCTGAAAACCCCATATCAACCCCAAACAAACATCTCTATGAACCTGAAATACAACCCTTTTTCCTCCTAAGCCCTAAACGGCCCCAACCCCCAACTCCCAAACCCTAAACCCTAAACCCCAAACC